ATTTGATTGCTGAACAACTGCTTACTCATCTGTTTATCATTACTGTTCTTAAGAAAAAAGCAACTGATCTACTCTATCAGTGTAAAAAAATGCAAACTCTCCTTCCACATGCTTTCTGGATTTCAGAGGCACCTTATTGCAGTAAACCTCCCTAGATGCATCAATTGGGGCAACAGAGACTTTGAAGCTTTGGTGGTAGCTTTCTCTGCTGTACTAGCAGAGCTGAGAACTTGAGGACTAATCACTCCTTAATAACTCATGTTTCCTCCCCAAAAATCCCTGAAATGAAACTGGCGGTGGAAAACATCTGATCAGGGCTTTGCGAGGTCGAAAATCACTTTGAAATGGACATCTTTCCCCATAATGTGTACAGTTTTTTGAAAAGGGGGGCTGAATTCTGTTCTATTCTCCATGCACCCAGGCCTTGGACTGGGCAGTGATCCCTGGTAGTATATTTCAGACATATCCCCAAATAATGAAAACAAAACACAGATATGTTGTAGGTGTCTCTGGCTCGGTTGTTGCTCGGGTTTGTTCTGCAGGAACTTTTGAGCCTGTATTTCTTTCTCCCAGGTAAGTTTCCCCATCCTGAGTTAGACAAAGAAAATAGCGTAAACCAACAGATAAAAATCGGTGTCTGCTCAGGACTTTCCCAACTGCCACTAGAATGACCGGGGCTGGCGAGAGCTTTGCTTCTGTGACAGACAGGCTCTTTGCAGGGTGATAGCCACAGATGCTACTTTATTGATCATCCCCATGCACCAACCCCAGGAACTGAGTTGGATCAAAAGGTGGCAATAGCCCCGTACCTTTGTACATCTGATGACGTAAGAAAAGGATATGTTTAACTGCCTTGAAGCAGGCATGTATTTACCTATGGAAGGCTATGGGGGCTGTAGCACCTTCCCTCCCCTGCAAGCACCAGTAGAAACCGCACATCCTTCTGTGTCACATACCATGGCTGGCAGCCCTTCCAGACAGAGGAGAGCTGCATCTGCCCTGGCTGCAAGAGCCATACATGCTAATTCAGGAACTTGGAATAAGCAGCCTGGCACATACAGAGCAAAAAGGCAAGTTGGATAGCACAGGCCGCAGCTGGACATTCTCTTTTTTGGCCAAAATATAAAAGCTCCTAAGCAGAGGTATTTTGAGCATTCATAGTCAACTGAGTTATGAGTTGGAAAAGCATCAGCCATGCAGTGCAATCCAGTACACGCTCTTCTTTTCTCCTCCTGGTTCATGCATTTTCACTCCCCTTTAGCTTTCTGGGCACATAGTGTACCTTGTGATGGCATGGGAAAATGAGGCCTTTAAGTCTTTATTAATTGTTACTACTGTATTTTTAAAAGGAGCTATTTAGGAAATCCTAGCTTTTGTTACCATAGGAATGAAGCTGTAGGATTTCAACTGAAGAGCAAATTAAACAGCAGTGTATAAGTAATTTGAGTATTTTAATTCTCCACTCCCTGCAAGCTCCGCGTGGACATGAAGAAAAGGACTCTGAAAGCTCTCCCCCCCTCAGTGCCACTTGACTCTAGCTCAAATTAGGATGTGCGGCCCTGCTGTCTAGAGTAGGGCTCAGCAACATCCCTTCCCACCCATGGAACACCTCTTCTTTTGCTGCTGCTGCTTCACTCAGGAAAAGTGCTCCTTGGCTCAGGCAGAGCTCCTCATCTGTTTTTTTCAGCTGGTTTAAAGCATGTTTATGCAATGTTTATACAATAAGGGCTAGGAGAATGGAGCATCCACTCTGCTGGTGCAGGAGCAGGTTGGGATGCTTGTACCTGATGAGCTTGCTCAAGAGAAAGTGGAGGTGGCCAGTGATTTACTGCTCAGTGTAATTCTAAAGTGCCTCAAGCAACTCTTAATTGCACCTTTCTGAGTTGGTTTGCTTCTCTTTTTCGATTCGAAAGGCTTAGGTCAACATTAGGTAAAAGCAGGACAGGTGAGTCAACTAGCAATTCTGCTGGCCTGCTCCAACACAGAGGGGAAGCTGGAAAGCAGGGGGGAGGCAAGGAAGGAGATAAGCAAAAAGCTGACACCCAGATTTGCTATACCTGCATGTTTGGTTCTTAAGTCTTTGAACCACAGAAATTTGATGAGTAGTTAGAAAATACAGAAAAGTTTTGTTTTCCCTGGCTTTAACTCTTCTCTGCGAGGCTATCACTATTCTGACTTGTGAGGAGTGTTATGGTTTTCCAGCTCAGGTTTGAGAGAGCTTTGGATTAATCAGAAGGGACTACTTAGTACAGCAAGGAATCTTTCCCCCAATTAGTCAGATGTCTAGCGTTAATGACAAGATTAGGATGTTAATCAGCTCTCAGTAATGGTAAAAATAATTGTCAAAAAGTAGTAGTAAAAACTCCACTTTCATGGTGCGTGGGGGACAGCTACAATTTTCTAAATGTCCCGTCCCAGCACAACACTTCCTTCTTCAGTGCTTCATTCACTGATCCAAAGTGCTGCTCAGGAAAAGGAAGAGGAGACTTTCCAGGATATTACAGTATGCGTCTGTAACTTCACAGATGCTTTGAGGTGGTGAAGCCACTTAAAGATTAAGAACCTAATGTCTGGCTTTTCCTCAGCAACTGAAGATGAGCCAAGAAAGCAAGCCAGTGACCATATTTTGGCATGACTTTCTGGCAATTACAGTGGCCTTATTTATCACCCAGTGTCTCCTTTTCTTCACATGTATCTAGTCTGCTCCAGCACACTGCCTTGCATTCTTGCTCCTGGAGTCTGGCTTACCTTCTAGCTGTCTGCCCAAGCCTGCTCTCGCAATATATGGTCAGAGAATCCTGTCCCAGCAACGCGTGACAAACTGGTCACACTGTGATAGAAAATTACGTGGGCACTCTCTCTAAAAACCCAGTATCAACACTGATCTAGCATGGTACTTATCCACAAAATCCAGCTATCTGGAGATTATTTTTTGTCCAGCTCTGCTTTTAGCAAATGTATAAGAGCACTTCCACTATTGCTACTGTTGGCTACAGGCAATTATGTATTTTCTGACCACCTTTCACCTTATTTCTCTGGCACTGACTGCATTGTTGAAACTGGAACTTTTCATAGGAACATACAAGAGGGTGTTCCAAAAGCAGGATGGAAACTCTGGGAGGCAGTTGCTGCTCTGTGGAGGTGATTGATAATACTTGGGAGTCTTTTCACCCCTTAAATTCACCTTTTGTGCTGCCTACTTATTTGAACCTTTGTTTCCACACAGATTCACATGCCTGGCCGCAATTAGTCAAAAAGAGGGGACCTTAGGCCTTTTTATGCAACATTCCCGTGCATCCCTCCTACTCCAAAATAAAAGGAAAGGGACTCCGAAGGATTAGGATCCTTTCCTTGGCTTTTCATTAAAATGATCTCCCAGCCAGACCCAAGCCTACAGGGAGAAATTATCACCATAAAGTTTTAGTGTAGTGAAATCGACAAAAAGGATGCAACAGGTAAAGAGGACTCTCGTTGATCCTGTGCTGCTGGGCCATTTTAATTGACCGCTTAACTGAAGGTTTTATATTTTTAACTATAAGGTCTCAGGTGATTAGAAATATCGGGGCAGGTGGAGTCTTGTATTGTTTCAGTTTTACTGCAGATGTTTCAACATCCCCCTACATTGTTTTGGACCAAGCCAAAAGACTGGACAACCACAGAAACCATCAACAGAATGTGAGATCAACCAGAAGGAGAACCACTAAAGTTACTTGCAAAAGTTGGAGGGAATGGTGGAATACAGAAGTAGATTTATTAACATATTTCCAGGTAATAAGATATCTGGGAACAAGGCATGGGAGGTGAGAGGGCAATAGGAGAGAAGAAACAGTTTAAACTTTACAAGCATATTAACACCATTCCCTCAAGTATTTTATTCAAAAAAGATAGAACTTAACTTGCATTGTCTTTGTATAAATGGTATAATCTCTAATGACATCTGCATCACGTATTCCTTTTTTTCCTGAAGGCTGACCGAGCTACTTCAGTGATAGTTCCTGGTAAGATACCTTCTGGGTAAACATACTTACATAAATAACTGGTTCCAAAGTTAGCTAAACAATAACAGCTGTTTACAGGCCAAAACTTTGGCACTTTTAATATAAAAGTGACTTCAGGGAAACACTCTGGTTGATAGCAGCTGAGAGTTTAGCCCAGCACTCCTAAAAGTAAGTTCAATCCCCTGGCTTGTGTTGCACAGATTTCCTTAAAATAAAGGCATCTCACAATTCCAAACTGGAATGGGAGCATAATTCGACTGAATCTCCCTACTGCCTCGTCCTTGAGGTACGAGGACATATTACGATGGTCCTTGAGTTGTCAAGTTTGTGCTACACCCCAGAGCTACTCGAGAGAGCCTGCATCCCCAACGTCGTGCTCATCTGTCTGACCAATGGATAGGCTGCCTATAAAAATGGATTTTTAACATTTATGCCTCCCTCTTGTGTTTCTACTATATGAACTTACCAGACCATGTTTATTTCTCAAAAGAGCTCTCTAAATGCAAACTTTATACATCATACATTTTCCCGATTTCCTGGTAAATACAAAAATCCAAGAGAACATTGAGAGTAAAAATCCTTTGCGTTGCGAAACCTAAAATTTCCCATCAAAGTCAACAATTACAGCTATCAATACTTGACAGAGTAAGTTCAATATTTAACAGAGGATGTGATCTTAGAATACAGGGGAAAAAACATCATATAAATACCTTGATCTAGCGTTCCAAAAGAAAATACGACAAATCCTATCACTGACTTCATGAGAAGTGCAAGTTAGGGAGTTCTTATTTTTAAAGCAGTAAGTCCTTTTATTTTGGAGAGCCTGGAGAAAATAGTGTGGAAAACAAGGAATAGAGCACTCCTGGCCTTACCCTGTCCTCTTTGACAGGAGTAAAGTCCCAGCTGTCCTTTTGCACAAGGAGTTTTTCTGGGCAGTGCTGCACAGAGGGAGCAAGAAGTTACCTGATGACAAGCAGAAAAAAAATCAGCCAACAAACATACCTGATTTGCCCACGCCAGCTCGACCAAAGATTGCCAGCTTCACTTCTGCGCTCTTCGCCATGCTGGAAGAATGGAGTGTCGACAAATTCATGAGCTTATCAAAACTGAGGCAGAAGAGCAGTTCCTAGCTCCCGTCTTCAGCTTCACCGTGTCATTGTGACGTCAATCCAGAGCCTAGGGAAGAACACCATGAGGATGGAGCAGCAAGTAGCCAGGCTCGCCCTCAAAGTTTTTTTTTTTTTTTTTTTTAAATAGGCGTAATTGATGCCTCCAGCCTTAAACATTGCCCTAACACCACTGACACATTTGGCACTGTTCAGGCAAAACATACCTTAAGCTTTCTAGCTCTCGCTGTTAGTTTGACACTGGCACTGTAACACTGAAAAAGGTACTTCTTCAGTAACCCAAAGCACTCGTCGCACAGCTCCATATAAGGTTCCTTATTCTGTTTTTTTTTCTTTAGGCTGAGATTGCTTATATTTACTACCTTTGCCTCAACTGTGATGAATTAGTTTCTGCAGAATGCATTTAAAAGCCACAACTACTCATTAATAATGCCTGCGCATAGCTGATCTTTCCCCAAGCCCTCCAGTTCCAGAAAGGTCTCAATTATGCAGCTGCAGTTGCTTAAAAACCTCTAAGCACTTGTACATTGTCCATTCTGCTAAAAAAAAAAAAAAAAACAAAAAAAAAAACTGTACCTAAAAGTTCTCTAGTTCTCCTTGTTTAAGCTGCCTCAGCTCATACATATATAAGCATTCAGCAAAGCATAGTGTTAGAAAAGAATGCCAGAATTTCTGGCCATGCAGTTTTGAGAGGCCATATGGGAATTATATATATGCACAGCTTTGCTGCATGACCTTGAACAAGTCACTGGACACTTCCATGCCTTGATTTCTCTACCTGGAGAGTAAGAACTATGACATTGCCCATCTTTGTAAAACGCTTTCAAATCCCAGGTGAAAAATGGCAACTGTGCTGCTGCTGATAATCCCTAGTCCCGAGTAAAACCTCAGAAATTTTGTCTCCATTTAAAAAAGGGTAGAACTTTACCTGTGAATGCTACCAGTTATGAAGGTAGCATATTATTTGCCATCGTCCTAAAATGTCCACTTCCATCACATATTCTAACACTGACATGAACTTCTGGGTTATTATTACCTGCTCTACATATCAATCGTTTCTTAAAACAAAAGCTGGGGGATTTTCTCTACAGAAAGATACCTTGATAAAAAGAATAGCTAGACCTTATGTAGTGAAGGGTTACTAATATATCTCTGAGATCTTTACAGTCCCCTGATTTATTTTGCATAAGAAATATCACATCATACTCACCTTGCGCGAACGGTTAGAAATGCCAAGTGTTTCAGGAGCGGTTTCATCTAACGGGGGTCACCGGCATCTCCCTCCGAGGAAAGCCCTCCGCTGCCTCCCGCCTGCAACCCAAACCTCCCCTCCGCACCCGCGGAGCCAGGCGCAGATATTACACATATAGGTATATGTATATATGGGGAGATTCACACGCGCCCCCC